ATATTTGTTTGGCAGTGATTACTTTATGAATTACCATAGGAAATTATCCTGTGGAAATGTCATCTTACAAGAAATAGAAGTAAAGAATGCAGGTTAGGCTTGAGTAAGTGGACTGGTGTGGTTTAACCTTGACTTAGAAAGAATCACACAGAGGCCTTCCCACAAAGGAGTCTACTGTTTGTATGCAGTATAAAAGAATTAATAGGCAGGCAGAGGGGGCTAAGGCACTCTACCAGCTCCCTTCTCAAGTTGTCTGCTTTTGAAAAGATTAGTTTCCATTTTAAGTATAAAATCTTTAAGTGAATGATTCAAAGAGGAGATTCACCAAAAAAGGCAAATTAAAATTACTCCAATAAAAAGAAAAAATAAAATTAAAAAAAAGAGATAAAAGTTAAAGGGCAGTTGTAAAGGACTGGTTGTTATTAAGTATTTGTACATGCTGGAGGCAAAGACCATATGGTACTTATTACCTACTCTAAGAGTAGCTTTTTATTTTCCTTGAAAGACATAAAACATCTTTATTTCTTTTTTTAAATTGAAACTGTTGTCTGTAGCTCTTACAGTAGTATCCTTAAGGGTTTGTGAGGTAAGTGGACTTCTGTATTATGAAATAATGTTCTTGATAGCGTATCATTGCCTCACAATAATTATTCCAAGCTGATACCTCATGATCACTTCCTTTTATACCTTAGTACCTATTACCACTGCTGCACCTTTCTTTACCTCTGATATAGAAAGCAAATATTCTAATTTATCAAAGGACTTAAAAGTACAGTGGAAGTGGGTTACAATCCAATAGATTATCACAGAAGGGACAGCTGCCCATGTAACTACCAGTCAGGCCACAAAGTGGAACTCCTGAGGTGCTCCTGAGTCACTTGCCTCTGTCTCCTCCCTGTAATCTCCTTAGCCAATTTCAACCATTTCCTTCTGTTCCTGTTGGTCTGATGCTGTTCCTTATATACTTACTTGGAACACTTTGTTCTTCAGTCTTTTCAGTGTGTCTGTCTCAGTATCATGTTTAGAATTCTGTATCATTGAATGTACTTATAGTATGTATGTAGCATACCATATAGACATAATGGTATTCAATCGTAAGGCGCTTGATTGATATAAAGGTTCATAAGGCATTACCCTAAACCCAGTAGATGCTGTTAGTGTAGTTTTGGATTGGATTTCTTTCAGGACGAATCTTGATTTCTAGTGGGGAAATGAACATTTATTCAATGGCAATCAGTATGATGAAGAAAAAAGGAAATAAAGAGGGATTACATAAAATTAAAGACAGAGCTGGTATCTAGAAGTCTTCTTAGAGAAAGTGATATTTAAACAACTAATACATGCATGAAAATATAGACCATGAATGGTTTTCTCTGACAGCCGTTTTCTCTGTCTCCTTCTGGGGATAGGTATATTTACTTAATCTTACCCATATATTTATATAATTTTTTTTCTATTCCTAAACTTATTCATTATATTAATAACTTAAAGAGGGGTTGTTCTTTCTGTTTCCTCACTTTATATCTTTCTGTAGTTATTTCTCCATAGTGTGGTGAACAGTTACCTAAGCCATAGTTCATACATTTACCACATTATTTTACCTTTGTTTTCCATTGGGCTTAACAAATTGAATTTAAACATTCTCTTAGAGGATACCAAGCCTGGAAATGATGTGGCCTAGCCACCTGTGACACATGGAGGAGCCTATGGGACCAGAATCTTAGCATTCCTACAATTCATTCTTGCTCTAGGTTGAGAAGTGGGTTTAAGATCTCTGTGATGATGTGTCTAGTTTTAAATCCATGTTTTCTCACTTAATTCTGCAACTGTGCACAATATGTTAAATTATCAGATACAGTGCTTTCATTGAGACATGGTGAAATTAAATGTGTGATCTATTTAGGAGGAACTCATTAGACAGTGTCTGTCACAAACAATTCAGTTGAACTTGTTGATTGTGATATGTGATTGACAGCTTTGTTGCTAGATATTTGAGTCACTTCCAGTTATGAACATTATTCTATCACTAAATACTTGGCACAAATATAGGAGACTAAAATCATGAAGCCAAAATGCTTGCAAATTTTAAGTGCTGTTAAATGGCGGTCGTATTTCTTCACTTTTTTGGTTTTTAGCTTATTGACAGTTCTGTTTGATCTGTGTTAAGCATCAGTATCTTCGCCAGGAATATTTTGCCTGCTGGTATTTAGCATAACTGTCTTTATTCATTTTATATTGTGGAAATTTTTATTTATTTATGTTAAGTGAGATTTGATAATTCAGCAGTAGTTTTCCAGTTGTATTTTGTGATTTATAATCTTTATTTTATACTTCCTTGTGGTATGAATTTTAATAAGTATCTTTTTTATAAATATAAGAAGTCTTTATGACTGCTTCTAAAACCACTAAAATCATTTATTCCTATGACTTCATGCTTTCAAACTTGACTTAGATTATAGGATTTCAACTTTCTTCAAAAGGAAAAATATCTAATACTTCCAAAGAAGTTTGTCTGATCCATCCTTTATTTTATACTGATTTAAAATCCCATCTTTATTATATAATAATTCTCCATTGACAACTGGGATTGTTTGTGTCTCTATATTCTGCTGGTATATTTTTCTAAGCAATGAACATATTGCCTCATGCATCATTAGTGTATTTGAAATTTTATACAATAAACACATGCTCATTTTTATTCTTTATAAATGAAATACTTTGTGAAACTTATTCAGTTTTTAAGATTTTTAGAATTAATTGTTACTTTTTCCCTGAACTCTTAGTGAATTTGAGTTCATGTGTTAATTTAAGATGAAAGTGGAAGTTATGTTCTAATAATTGATTTGTTTTTAAAATGGCACTGGATATGGCTTTTCAATCTGTCATCCTTTGCTATGTATTTTCATAAGGGTTCATCATTTTACTAGATAATTAGCTTATATTTTACATTGTTCTAAATGCATAAATGTTTTATTACAAAATGGTACATACAAGTTAGGATGAACAAAGATAATACATTTCAGAATATTTGTCTTATTATAATCCTATGCTTTTTAACAAATTTTTAGTGTAGTCTCTTGATTATGTCATTTAACTGTTTTCCCAAAAGTATCTCATTACTTTTATAATAGTTTAATATAACATAAAAATATCTGTTTTTATCATGTTGACTATAGATGTTAGTACATATTCTTAATGTCAGAGTAATGGTAAGATATTCATTTGTTAGGTAACACCTTATCAAGTTCATAGTCAAAAGCTTTATTTTATTACGATTATTACTTGAATGTAGACATTGGGCCTTTTAGAGCCAACCAGGTTTATTGATTGTCATAATATTTCACATTATAATTATGTTATATTCTTGCAATATCTTTAATAATTATCTTAAAATATATCTCAAAATAGAAAGCCAAAATAATGAAAAATATAATTAGAAACATGATAGAGTCATTTGAGGCAGTTTATCATGTTAGCTTTAATCCAGTGGCACTTGTATATAACTATGCTAGAAGAAACAGCACATAAATCTGTCCTTTTCTGTTACTAGTTGAGAAAGTATAAATTGAAAGTGTTGTGACTAGATTTGCTTTAGAACATTAGGATACTCACTGAGTAAATCTAGGAGATAAGCACATAATACACAGGGGTATATAATTTATTCTAATGTTTAGGATACATTGGTTTTTGAAAGTACATTAACCTCTCCTTACCAAAAATTGAAAAATAAGATTTTTTAAAAGAAATCATTGTGAAAACTTTATATGTGTTATTTAAAAATGCAGTAACCCTGATAATCTTAAATGTCAAAATACATTTTATTTTTATTGTGATCTTTAAGCACTGCAATAAGACTTGACAGTTTATCTGGAGGGAGAAAGTCATTTTCCCCATGGGGAAAGTATTTTTGAAAATTTTATCACTATAAAAAGTGATCTTCTGTTTATCTTCTAAAACATCTTCTATTTTTAAATCTTTGTTGTATAGAAGGGACTGACTAACCTTAAGTACTATTTACTGTAAATAAAATATTTCAATACATGGCTTAGTTACTTTTTTCTCTAAAATATAGCAACATAGCTTATAGTATTATGTAAAGTTATACACAAAAAAGTGAATGGAAGAAACTAATAAGCCTTTTTAATTGAAGGAAATTTTTGTAATGTGTATTGCATGTAACCTAAAGTATTTTATGATTAGCAGAGCTAGAACTTAGATACAAAAATAAAGGGAACTTTTGAAAGTATTATTTTTAATCATGTGGGCTTCGTGTGATTAATTAATCAGTATTTGATATGTAAGTCTATACATATTCATAGTTATATATCATCTAGATTGTGCTCGTATGTGGAAAGATATATTAATATTTTATGTTATTAGTTCTCAATTTTGAAGCATTTTATGGTTAAAGAAACAAGTGATACTGTAGCATAGATACTATATCACTATTACTACAGTCATAAAATCCAAATACTGTAGTAGCAGTCATAGTCACTTGAGGTGACTAGAACCCAAGCACCTTACTGTGACTGCTGGTGAAATAGTTGTATTAGTGTAAGTGCCAGCAAGAACCACACCTTCATGTACAGGTCTGGGTGCTCTAGAAATGTTCAACTCTTCTGGAACTCTGGCATGTAATCTAGTGCTGCAAATATACACAGGCGGAGAGTAGCAAAACACCTCTAGTGTTGTACCCTTTGACAAAACTCTGGCACAAAAGTGTGCATTTCACAAAGTTACCCACACCATATTGAGACACTGTGTCATCACTTTTGTGTGTAGAAACAAAAGGACATTTGTAAGATGATGGGATAATGAAGGTCTTATGTAGTTGATCATTCAGAAAACTCTTTTAACATATGGAATGTGGGGAAACTTAAATGAACCAGCTTACTTGCACATTAAAAGGTAAAAATGAACATTTAAATAATTTCCATTAAAATAGTGAAGAACTTTTAAGTTATAATTAATTAAAATCTATGCTCCTGTTTGTTTTCTAGGCAATTAAATTAGAGTATTCAAGGCTGGTTAAGTTGGCCCAAGAAGATACTCCACCAGAAACAGATTATCGTTTACATCATGTCCTGGTCTACTTTATCCAGAACCAGGCGCCAAAGAAAATCATTGAGAAAACATTACTCGAACAATTTGGAGATAGAAATTTGAGTTTTGATGAAAGGTAATATAAAAACACAAAGCATCTACTTCATGTGTTCATTCATTTCTTATTGTTCTGGTTAGGTTTGGTTTTGTTAATCTACAGTGTAAGTCTTTTGTGTGTATAAAAACTATAACAAATATAGCACAAACCTATCTCACATTAATTTGAATGTTTGCTTTTCTATTTCTCTAAAATTTCTAGCTATGCTCTTTTAATGTTTTACCAAAAAGTAATTTGGATAATTCAAATTCGGAGTAAAGAAATCACTCTTCTATGGAAGAAAATGTGATTTTTCAACATCTATACTGTGGGGATTTTAGGCTGGGTAATTTTATTGTCAGGCTTCCATGTGGCTTATCAGATACAGCAACATCTCTAACCAATAGTGAGAGAAGCCAGTCCCTTGGATTAGAAAGGCTCAAGCATCTCCCATGTATTCCCAGTAGCCACTGGAAGCTGGAAGGTGAGCTTACCTCTCTGTGACAAACCATGAAGAAGGTCTAGTCATGCATACAGAAAATAGGTATTGATAATTATTTGATATTAAAGATGACATAAAATAGTTAATTTTTCACATGTAACTATGTTTTGTCAGAATGTGTTATAAAACTCCTAATGTTAATTTTTTTTCTCATTAGTCTGAATTCCATTTAAACAAAACTCCAGGTATAGAGTTCCAAGATACAAAACGTTACTTTTTTTTTTTCTGAGACACTTTATAACCATGATTGTCTTTTGGAACTTGTTGTATAGACCAGGATAGCCTCACATTCACAGAGATCTTAAATCTGATTTCTGAGTGCTAAAATTAAAGGTGTGCACCTCTGTATCCAGTTCTTTTTTAATTTTTTAAAAAATTTATTCGAGTATATATTACATTGTTAGGGGCTGGGGGTAAGACACACTTGCCTCCCATGGTATATGTGTGAAGTTATTTGTGTGTGTTTTTGGGGTGGTGAAGGGTGTGAGACATGCCTCCCATGGTATATGTGTGACAGTCAGAGGACCACTCTAGGCACTTGTGAGATCTGCTGATTGACTCTGACAAGGCTATCAAACCTTTGCTCCAACCCACTTTCACTTGTGGAGATTTTGTTTTTCTGTGTCTGGTAATTTAGTTTGATTCAATATGCTTTTATGGTTTTTATAGATTTTGTTTTTGATATAGAAATGCCTTTCCTATATTTAAAGGTGTCACAACATAATGAAAGTTGCCCAAGCCAAATTGGAAATGATCAAACCCGAAGAAGTGAACTTGGAGGAATATGAGGTACTGTGCTTTTGGGAAATACTGACCTCTAGTTGGCACATGTCATAAAGGAGCATAGGACTAAATGTTTTAAAGAAAACCTTTGGTTTTTATGTTTATAAGTGCTCTTGTATTTCATAAACTAGTTTTCAGTTACTTCTATAGATAGCTTTTTGCTTAATAAGTGCAATTTATTGCATTAATGTTGAAATTGCAAAGATTTATCAAGAGCTTACTGAACATTCTTCTAAGCACCACAGGTGTATTGACTGATTTAATCCAGATATTAACCTCTAATTCCATGGAACAATGGCACAAAGTGCTCCTCATACCTCCACACAATTATCCTGGGAAGCATGTCTCTCTCTTCCCCATAGCCAACACACACACACATACACCACATACACACACACACACACACACACACACACACACACACACACAAATACATTTTTAAGAGAATGCTTAAAAACAGCCAGGTGTGGTGGTACATGCTTTTTATTTATTAGTTATTTTATTATTACTGGTATGTACATGAGCACAGGGGCCACAGGAGGGGGAGATGAAATGGCTGAAGGTTTCACAGGTAGGAGTTAACAGCTCTTGGACAGCAGATCAGTCTTACAAATTTAACTGCCATTCTATCTACACTGATTATTTGCTATGTTTTCTACTTCCCCGTTGTTCCATCATACATGTTAGAGAGATGTTAGACAATCATTTTAGCCATTGCATGCCATCTGAAATTGTGATTCTCAGACAGTGCTATCTGTGAATATGCACATGCACACTTGTATCATGGCTTATCAGATTTGTCTCGGTGTGTATACAAAATCATTTACAAAATTCAAAATGCAGTATCTATTTATGCTTTTAAAATTAAGTCTGGAAATTTACTTTTATGTGTCTCTTTCATTAATCTTTGGTTTTACTTACAAACTTTTAATTTGCTGCTTAGAGTTTCTAAGGTAACTCCAGAGTAGGTAACAGGATCTTGTAGAATTTTACCTCTTTGTGAAGATGAACTAATAGTAAAATTATGATTTGAAAGAACTAAAATTGTGTGTACAGTGAAGGGTCGTGTAGAGAACATCCTTCTCCTCTCCGTTAGCTCATTGGAATGGAACCAGAACAAGTTTACAAGTTTTGGTGGAACTTTCTTTAGATAAATCCTATATTGAATGTTTTATTTTTGAACTAATTTTTATTAAACATTTTTTTTTAAAAAAAAGAGGTTTTGTTGTTGCTGTTTGTTTGTCCTGAGTATCCCTGCCTACTATTGTTTGTGGGGTAAGGAGGCTTACTTTTCACATATGTCACAAAGTACTTGGAAACACATTTAAAATTCCCTCATATCTAATAATAATAACTAAGTGAACTATGACCGTTTTTATTTCCTTAAAATTCTGTATCAAGCAACAACTTTGAGCTCTGGACAGAACTGTATCAATAGAATATTCCTGTCTGTACTATCCTAATATTAGTAAATTTTATACTGAAGAATGTTTTATGGGAAGAAAAAAATAACCATTTGGTCACCCTGCCATTTTATTATTTTATATCTTATATTCTTAACCTTCTAGTAATATTAATTTCTCATCTATGACTAAGTGCCTGATAGATATTATTATTACTATAATTACTATAACTATAATTATTATTATACTAGAAAGTAGTGTGCTAAGTTATTTAAATTTTAAATTCATTTCTCTTCATTTGCATAACTATCATAATGGTGCATTGCTTGATATTCTTATCATAGTTTTACTCTTTTCACTATTATATTTTTATATATAGGAGTGGCATGCAGATTATAAGAAATTCAGAGAAACAACTATGTATCTCATAATTGGACTAGAAAACTTTCAGAGAGATAGGTAAGAGAGGACAAATATGTAGAAAATGTTTGTTCTTATCATTAATTCTATTCAGTAATTGACATCTGATGCAAAATATGTATAATACATTTTAATGAAAGTTTTAGCCCAAAACAATTTTAAATTAATAGAATATTGCAAATTTAATTCAATATTAAATACCCTCACTATAAAATATATTTTGTTTTTACTCTAAATCTAAAACGTTGGCATTTGTGTTTTTGTTCTTCATAGTTTCTTTATTAATTTAGTTCAAATTTGTTCTCCAATAGTTTCACACATGTACACATTGTTTATTCATGATCATATTGACCCCCACCGTCTCCCATCTCCTTCCCTGACCTCTGCAACTTCTCCCCACCAAGTTCCCTCAAGCATCATATCTATCCTTTTCTGTTTTTTTTCTTTTTCTGTTTTTTTTCCTTGCCCACTGAATTGACCAGGGCTGAGTTTAAACATTGTTTATTATGACCATGAGTTTGCATATGTGTGTAAGAGCCTAGTGGACTATTATAATTGAAAGTTTTGTATGAAACCCATCCATAAAATATGGAGAACAAAGGGGCCCAGCATATATAACTAGTTATATTCCCCACAATGAACCTGGGACATCAGTGGTTATTATATTCCTATGTGAGTTTGACTTACATCAGAGGCCAGTCTTGTGTCTTCATCTGAATTCCCAGGTACCATAAAGAGAGCATTTGTGATAGAAAGATATTCAGTGATAGTGTCTTTGCCTACTATACACAAGGCCAAAGATTTAATCCCATTGCACACCCACAAAAAAACAAGTTTTTCTTTAAAAACCTCCAAATGACACATACATTTTAAATTGAAGAGAATTTTAAAATTTCAATGTATTTAACTATAAAATTCTTATTTTAACTTTATTTTTTAAGTTGAAAATAGATTTTTAAAATAATATAATTATCAGTTCCCCTCCCCCATACCCTTCACACTTTCCCACCCACCCATACCCCTTCTTTCTTTTGTTATAATACAAATAGTCATCTAAAAATAATAAAATAAAAAAACAGTATTTTAAATCTTATTACAAAAACATTTTTATGTACTTTTCATTTCTGTTATTCACTAGTTTATATTCATTTCTCCATTCATTATTTAATTTCTAATTTAGTATCAAAACACTTAACCTAGTGATTTTTTTTAAGAACCTGCTTTATTTTCAAAACAGTATCTTACTGAAGCCAAGCAAAATAACTAGTGACCTGTTTCTTCATTTGCATTTGTAAACTGTAGGGAGCTCCCACTAAGGCAATGGCATGTTTTTAATGACAAGTGGACACTTATTTCTAGGATGTAACTGTCCAACTGTCTAAGGTGCTACTAACCTTGAATGACAATTTAGTTTTCTACAATTATTGATTCAGTTTCTTAGTACTGGCCACATTCTTTGATCCATTCATGCCCACTCTATATACAAGAGTTCTTGCTGAGGGCCTAACCACTATCTAGCCACGGCTCTGTGGCCTACTAATGCTGCCTGCCATCCATGAGTGTTATCTTGTACCAGGGTACGTAATGCTATAAGAGAGTGGTCACTCAGTCCCATGTTTGTCCACCATTCTGTCAGTAGCCTGCCTTGCCAAGCTCATCACTGTTGTAGTTGTACTGTCTTCAGCAGTCAAGACTTGCCATCAGGTCGAGAGTGTTTCTAAAGGCAGTGTGCAGCCTGGAATGTTTGTGGTTTGTGGAAACCTCAGTGACCAACAGTTCTAAAAGAAATAACTCAGAGAGGACACTCGGCTTCTTATTTATTCTCCTCTGGTGTCTAGTAGAGTCATTGGTGTCCTGTCATAGTGTATCTGTTTCAGTGTGTGCGTGTGTGTGCATGTATGTACTAAGTTTGTGTAGTATGCATCTGTATATCTTTTTAAAAAATGTCTTTGGTGGTGTTTATCCCTCCCCACCTCCTCAGCTCCTCTGTCCTACCCTCACTCTCCCTTTCCAGTATAACCCTTCTTAATTTGTCCCAGTAAGTTTCCAAATTGGAAGTATGTTTTCTGCTTTCCACCCATCATCTCCCTAGGGCACTTTAATTTTATGTTTTTCTCAGTGGTCAGAAATTTTTCTCTACATACAAAAACCTGACTTACATAATCGTTGCATGGGCCAAATGATATGTCTAGGTATAAAGTAAACAAAAATAATCTTTTCATACGAAAACACTGTGTTATAAACATTGATTGTTGGTCTCACATCAGACATAAATTTTGGTCCTAAGTAGAAAGCATCAAACACCAGTATACAAAGACACAGAATGACTGTTGACTATTGCAGCTGAGGCCATTCTCCCATGTTCTTTACTTCTTTCATTTTACTCACCTTCCCTAAGGTTTTTCTCTTGTTAAAAAATGTGTATTTGTTCATTTAATGCACTGGACTTATTCTGTTATAGGAAATCGACATTTAAGTATATACTTAGATTGTTTTATAACTGGAGATTGCTTCATAATACTGAAATACTAATATAATGTGTTTATTTTAAGTTATATAGACTCCTTGCTGTTCCTTATCTGTGCTTACCAGAATAACAAAGAGCTCTTGTCCAAGGGTCCATACAGAGGGCATGATGGGGAGCTGATATCACATTACAGAAGAGAGTGTTTACTGGTGAGTATAAACTGCATGTCTTTGCATTTTCCTTCTGTTAGACACATTCTACAGGTTTGCACATAGGTAATTGATTGTAAATACTGTCAGATAAAAATCATAATGGTATCTACATAAAGTGTTTTTTTTAAATAAAAAAATACTGCTTTCCTTGTATTTCCAGATTGTATCATTCTACTGCCACTTCCCTTTTTGCTGTAAAAGGAGGACTAGATCATGAAGAAAGATTCTATACAGCCAACAATTAGTTTCCTGAGAGTAGTAAAGCATACTTAATTTGCAAAATTTCATTGAACAGATTACCTTGTATTTAGTCTCTCTAAAATATCATTATGATTATTGCAGATATTAAAGTTACTTTGAAAACATTTTTATCTACATTATGTAACTTTACACATGCAGAGACTTTGATTAGTATACACTAAATCAGCTAGCTCTCCCATGTGAAGTAAAAATTCTCCTAAAATTTATTTGATTACATTGAATTCACTATTTGCTGCCAGCATTACCCCCATCTATAATGTAAACCACTAAGTAATACGAGGAAAAACCTCTCTAATTTTGTTATATGCATTAAATGTAAGAATTTTTTTAAAAGATTTATTTATTTTATTTATATGAGTACACTAGCTGTCTTCCAACACCCCAGGAGAGAGCATCAGATCCCATTACAGATGGTTGTGAGCCACCATACGGTTGCTGGGAATTGAACTCAGGACCTCTGGAAGAGCAGTCAGTGCTCTTAACCATTGAGCCATTTCTCCAGCCCAAGAATTTTTAATAGGATCTTTTGATGAAATATTTTTTTCTTAGAACTATTCATTTTACATCAATTTTAGTGTGAAGTGTGGTCTTTCCAGGTTTCATTGAGAAAATTGAAAGACAATGATTTTATTTTCTTTTTCTATTGTCTTTATTATCTACAAAGCTTTTTCTGCGAGAGGTGTGTGTTTGTTGTACACATTGGTTTCATTGTACCCAATTGCTATTTGTTCTGATATTGTCTGAACATATTGATCATGTTGCCTTCAGTATGCTCGTGTTCAGGTACTCCATTCTTCACTGTAAGATGAAGCAAACTGCTTTCTTTTCTCTCATTCCATTCAGAAATTAAATGAGCAAGCGGCAGAGCTGTTCGAGTCTGGAGAGGACCGAGAAGTGAGCAATGGCTTAATTATTATGAATGAGTTTATCGTTCCCTTTCTGCCCTTGTTGCTGGTGGATGAAATGGAAGAGAAAGACATCCTTGCCGTGGAGGACATGAGGAATCGTTGGTGTTCGTACCTGGGGCAAGAAATGGAATGTAAGTTTGAGCAGTGCTGTTAGTGCTGTGGCATGGGCACAGCAGCAGAGGAGGCCCTTTGTCATCTTTGGCCTCGTTTGATATCCTGGAGCTCTTCCTCCTTCACACTATGGCCACTTCTCTCCTTCACAAGCTAGGATGTGCACATTTCTGTTGCCATGTACCTTAAAAAGCAAACAACAAAAGCAAAACTCAGATCCCGAAAATGAACGTAATTTCATGTGTTTAAAAGAGAGTCCTCTCCCATTAAAAGCCTACAGAGGCGCTCCTTTCCGTTCTCTGTGTTGAGATAAATTTATTTGTATTTGCAGCAAACCTCCAAGAAAAGCTGACGGATTTTCTGCCAAAACTGCTTGATTGTTCTACAGAGATTAAAGGTTTCCACGAGCCACCAAAGTTACCTGCCTATTCTGCGCATGAACTCTGTGAGCGATTCGCCCGAATCATGTTGTCCCTCAGTCGTACACCTGCTGATGGAAGATAAACTGCCCGGATTTCCCGCGGTCACCATAGAAACTCTGTTCTCTCACCCCGGTTTCCTGCCGCGGGGATTGCTTGCTGCTGCTAGAGTTTTTAACTTTTTATTTTAATAACTGCAAAAGACAAAACGACTATGCCGACCTTAGCCAAGACTGCAAACAATAAACCCGAGAATCGCATGGCATTCACCTTCTTTTATCCGAAATCGATGTATAATTACAAATGAATTGATTTCTTGTGGCAAAACTATACTTTTGCTGCCTTCTATTGCAGTATTTCCTCTCAGTTTTCTTTACGAACAGCTTTCCATTTAGTCTGGAACTTCCACGACTAAGCCATTAAGTGTTCAGCACTGTGTATGATACATAATATTTGGTAGCTTGTAAGTGAAATCAAAGAATAAAGTTTTATTTATGGCTACCTATGTGTTTGTAAGCAGGTATATTGTATAATGGTGTGTATTTTAGTTATATACATGAGTTTAGTCATGGGGTTGGCACTGGGTGATGCATACAATAATAGCCCTTTTGTGTTAGTATAATAATGGAACCATATTGGAAATGTACTAAGTATTTAGCACTTCAGTGTGTCTATATCAACTAAGTTCTTGGACCTAAACATATGTTTAGTCAGATTTCACTAAAGTGAGTGACTGGGTTTTAAGTCAAGCTGCAGTGAAACTTTTAACCTTTACTTAGATTAAACGTTTGTTCTTTTATGTATGTGTAAATAATACAAGGTGATTATTTCAAGAGAAACCTGAAAAAGTACTTGAATAAGGGCTATTGTGAAATTTAAAAAGAAAAACAAATGTGCACATATACACACATACATGCACATACATGTATTCTTCATAATGGAGGGCAATGTTTTTCATTATATAATTATTCTATTTTTGTAAATTATATACTACTTTAATTGAGAAATGTCCTCTACTAATCAATGCTGTGAAATGAAATTGATACTGTTCAACTAGGGATTATAAGAATCTTAACTTTTTATTTGCCTCCTTTTTTTTTTCCAAAAAAAGGTAAAAGACATAGACTATTTTATGAATGGAACTACTGTTTTAAGATCAATGAAGTGATGTTGCGAATGAAAATCTAGATTCATGCTTTGAAGGTAATCATGTTACCACCAATCTATTTTTGAATTTATAAAAATTCTTTATAACTGATACTTTGTTAGCATAGTAAAATATATCCTTATGCTGTGTGTCTATTGTTTGTTGTAGCGTCACCAAACATACACTCTACAAGTGCCTGTCACTAAAGATCCAACAGCACAGCCAGGGCTTCTCAACCTTCCAAATGCTCTGACCCTTTAACACAGTTCCTCATGTTGTGGTGACCCTCAGCCATAAAATTGTTTTGTTGCCACTTCATAACTAGACTTTTGCTACTGCTATGAATTGTAATATCTGATATGAAGGATATCCTATGTATGATGGCAAGGGGGTCTCATCCCACAAGTTGACAGCTGCTAGAACTAGAGGAAGCGAACACAATCACTTCTGTGATAATTTTGCAAAGGGAATTTTGTGTGGTGAGGCATCCAGGAGGAATCATTAGGACCTAGCTGTATAAAATGAGGTGTTGTATATTGTAAGCATCAAAGTGTGTTTGTGTTTAGAGTCCCTTGTCCTTTTAAAAGCCTAGAAACTTCTCACTGTTGTTGCCACTTTGCTAGCTATCACATATGATATGATATCCTATCATAAAATGGAGAACTGCTTTATATTGATGTATGTATTGCCTGTCAGGGCACAAAGGAGTCCAATACTAGGTGGACAACATTATTCTGTCAAGAAGCACATCCAGCGACTTATATGGTTCTTATGCCTAAGGTAAGTAGTATATTTAGTTTATAAGAAATTAGCTCATGAGCCTGTGGGACAGCTCAGTGGGTAAAGGAATTTGCCGTCAAGCCTGGTGATCTGAGTTTGGTGCGGGGACCCACAGGGTGTCTGGAGAGCACTGACTCCCACCAGTTATGCTCTCAACACACACATACATGCCTGCACTAAACAATAATGAAACATAATTTTACAAGCAAGTTCATTGATTTCTAGGATTGAATCTGAAATATCTTAGTTATATAAATGACCTTTATTTATACCTGGGCATTCAACTTGTTCTCTTGGGGCCATTTATTCTGTTTTCAAGGTTTAGGTCATTGAAATTTCTTTTATGTTATTTGTTGAGGTTTAAGTATAACTTGTAGCTTTTATTTAAGAGACGGAGCCTCGTAGAACCATTGCCTATGGTAGGGTTAACATTCAAACACTGTCACTTTGGTTACTGTGAATATTCCTATTCCCCTCTTACATTTTGAAATATTCAGTTAAGAAAGAACCTACAACTTAAATATACATGGCTTAAGGGGCCAGAAACTGTGAATAAACCTAAGTAAGATATTCTGGCAGTATCACATTCCTTAAATTCCATGTTAGCATGTATTTAAAGGGTACTAGTTCTAAAGAGGTTGGCTCTAAAGCACTCTTTAACCTGTCTGGTATCATGTCTGATCCCCATCTCAAAGCTATGATTCAAACCATCCAGTGCTGTGGGAGAGGTTTACAGGTGGAGAAGTTGATGAGGCACCCGATGTTGTAAACCTCTCAGCAGCGTTCCCGGTGTTGTAAGCCTCTCAGCAGCGTTCCTGATGTTGTAAGCCTCTCAGCAGCATTCCGTGTATCAATATTCTGTTGCTTTCACTCTCTTCTGATTCTGTATTCTATCTTTCTATCTTCTTCACTAGTAGTTTCAAAGAAGTGAAACTTTTTTGTTTCATTTTAAATATTACTGAAAATAATATGAATTTTTCTCTACATTCGATTCTCCAGGAGTTCAGTATCTTTGCTTTTGTATTCACACTTGTTGACTTGCCTCTAGGTTCTACACTTATCCCCCCAAATTAAAAAAAAATAGACTGCTTTAGGGTGATTTATTATTTTTATATTTTATTTTTCATTTTTATTATATAGTTAGGTAAATTAAATGTTCTTTGCTATGGCCGTGATCCAACTTTCCCCAGAGCATGTATATCGACTTTCTGGGACCATGAAACAAAGCATGGCAAAACTATTTACTCTTATAGGGCTAGAACCTTCAAGTTCAAGATTAAGAAGCTGCCTAGTTGGTTTCTGTGGGATACTGTGTCCTCTGTACCAATGTCCATGTTCTCTGCCCAGCATGGCCTTTCCTTTGTACACACACACACATCCCAGGTTTCCCTACATTAAGGACTGTACTCACGCTGGGTGCATACCCTGTCTTCATGACCTCACGATATTTTCTTCAGCTCCATCTTCAGCTTCATTTCTAAGCACAGATGCACCAAAGGCTGGAGCTTTGATGTGGAGTTTGACAGGCCACATTTCAGGCTAGATAGTATGAAGCAGCTGAGTTGTCTTTCTTGCTGTAAGGATAAGGTGATAGTGTTTCCCTTTAGCCTTTGTTTTATTTTCTTGCCACTTTCACCTTATCTTTGGAACCATTGAAGCAACCTAATTCGGAAAGAGCTAATCTGACACTCACTGGTTCCAGAGACACTTTCGTTGAATGAATGGAATAACACTGTTGATGGATGTGAGTGTATTTTATTAGTTTCGTTTCACATTATACCTTTGATTCACTTCCAATAAGGATGATATTTTTGTTATCTTTTGCACATCCCTTCCCAGTTCCCTAATCTATCATCAGATAATATCTTTTTCCATGTTTGGATTATATCAACTCAGACAAGAGGTGACTTTTGTTTGATTTTTGATCATTGCTGAGGGAGAGGTCATTTGTTTTACAAATTGCAGCAGCCAAGTAGTTTAGAAATTCTTCCTCATCCTTTCCAGAAGCCAGTTGGTCTCCATCTTCTCTTAGCTTTCGAATGATAGATAATAGAAATATGAAATTAAAAATGCTGATAATAAAGTAATAGAAAGAATTATCTGGCTGGGAAGGGATGACCCTCTCCTCCACTTGGGAGGCAGAGATAGGAGGGTCTGATGTTTGATGGCACCTTGTGCTATATAGGAACAAAGGATCTCAAAAATTAAATAATGAGTCATAAATAATATCTTCTAAGGTTCTATGTAAAGTGGAACACACACACACATCCGCTGGTGACAATATTTTAAATATCTTCGTTAGGCTCTTACCAATGAACACTGCAGACTTCCATTACCATGTTAGATCTCTTATTCTGTCAGCTCTTGTAACACAGAGTAAAACTATTCCTTAGCCTAGTTAACAAAAATGAAGGAATTTTGGCTGCCCTTCAACTCATGTGGATCTGTAAATTTGTAGTTTATCACGACACAGGGAGGACATTTTGGACAACATAGTATTCTGAAAAATGGTATAAATCAAATCAGAAAAAAAAATACTGAGTTGAACTTACACATTTCAAGATACACATCCATTTTACTCCTTGTTCTGGGAGCTAAATGTTGACGATTAAGGAGTTGACAAGAAGGTTTTGTGGGATGCTGTCTCTCTTGTACCGATGTCCATGTGCTCTGCCCCACCATGGTCTTTTCTCTACTTCAAGGACTCGTCCCAGCTTTCTCTACTTTAAGAACTACACTCATGCAGACCCCATCATCATGATCTTGTACAACTTTATTCACCTCCATTAAGGCTTCAAAGACATGCTTGTTCTTCGGGAGAAGCAATCCAAGAGGCTCTCTTTGTTTTACGCCATAGTAGTCTCAGATCTTTGGGTTTGCCTTTAAAAGACTTTTTTTTTTTCTCTATCGCTTCTCCAGTAGTATTAACGTGTACATCAAGAAAAATACATAAGGAACTATTTTTTAATTATTTAAGCGCTGTTGTCATATTATTTTGAGACAGGATCTCCTACTAACAACCCCTACCTATATTTATATATAAATATATATATATATATATATATATATATATATGTATATATAAAACCCAGGATGTCGCTGTATTTATGAACCCTCTTCCCTCAGTTCCATATCTTTTTGTATTATTAAAATGCTTCTTACATGAGAACCAGCTCAATACACAACATTAGATAGCTGTTCCACAATTTTTTTTTTATTGTTGTTTGATTGATTTTAATGCTACCTTGACAGACTGGGTAATTAAGGAGCGTGAATGAGTTAGAACTTCGCATTATTGCCTTTCAGTGGGACAACAGAGCCTGAAAGCGTCTTATTTTCCCTAGAGAGAAAGCAGACCTATCTTGTCATGTGTTGCACTCGAAGCTGACACTACATGTAGAGGGTTCCCAGCACCTAATTTATTGTCCCTCACCAACTTTTTTCAGTTTGTTGGTGTTACTTACTGTTGCCCTGCTTCTCAAGGTCTGTGACATCCTAAAACATTTCTTCAATTAACTCTCTCCCTACCTATATTCTTTATAATTCATAAGTCAGTGATTACTGACTGAAAACAACTCTTGGTGTTAGACTGGTCTATTGCTATTGTATGTCTTATCAGATCTATATATTACAGACAAGAAAGGCATGTTCATGGCAGTAAAGCTATAGATATCTCTGAATATTTCAAAGGCACTTTAACCATGTACATCCAAATTAAACTCCTTATTGTGTAATGGATCTGATGCTCTTATATGCCCCGGTGAAGGATATAGATCTAGAAATCCAGAATTTTTTCTTTTAAATTCTACCTATCTTCACTAATGCCAAATGTTGTCAAGGGAGCTTTTGAATCTCATAACTATAGCCCATTGTACCTCCCAGTTCTACCATTGGACTATTGGATTTATTGAAGCATAGCCTCCTGTCCTGGCTCTTGCCTCTACAATCCACATTTCACACTGCTGACTCAGTGACCTTCTTATGGAGCTGGTTTCATATGTGTTTTCTACAGTAGGACCTGACTCTTCTAGAGAGAGATGATGATTTTTTTATAGCTCAAGTACCTGTTAAAATATCTAGCAACTTTTCTGATTCACTTTTGCATCTTTTCTAACCCTCAAGTCATTGAATTTATAATGTGTTTGCCTTTAGCTACTTTAAAAGAATATATCACTTAGTCACCATATTTCAAATACTCAGTAATCTCAGATGACTCATGGCTTCTATATAATTTTTTACTATGCTCTCATTTGAATGATGCTGAGTCAGCTCCTTAGTATTGCTGTACTGTCTCTGACCCACCTGTCTCAATAATAACCCAGAGACTTATTATTTATTATAGCTTAGGCCTTAGCTGGCTACCCC